TCCGGAATCCGGAATTTTACTGCATCTTCAATCGTACCGTGCACACTGCTAATAAAGAACATTGTTATTTCGTACCTTGCGCATATTTTTTACTACGAGGTCATGAAAAAGTGTAATAATAAATAAACGTAATAAAACTTTAATACAGGAGGGTTAGGTACAAATTACTGAGTGAAATCACCAGGCCACATCTTTATTTAACATAGACTTTTTAGTAGTTGCCGGCACAAAAATTTGATCATTGATCTTATGACAGGCGTTGTTCGCTTTGCAACGCGAATTGGAGTTACTCACAAGTACTAAATCAGACTAAATTAAAAACTCGTCTCGCGAACCGCACATCATTCAAATTGGCACTTCTCCACGGCCGCACAATTTATTCATGTGAGCCGCATTTGGACCGCGGGCCGCAGGTTGTACAACCCTGATTTAATGTTTGGACTTCAAGAAACTAAAAAATGAACACACTATATGCTTTGAAAAGCTTGCGGTCGCAGAAATAAACACACAAGCCGAATGAATATAGAATTCTTGGTTTCATAATAAAAATAAAATTAAGTTTAACCGTTGAAAGCAAACGTTATTTATTTTACCGACATTCGAGACATCTGAGATGTCTACAAGGACAATCTTGTTCAGACCAACAGTTAACGAGCTTCTATCAATTGGGGTTGATTTTATTTTGATTATCAGACTGCAATGTCTGTATAATTGGCCGCACTTAACAACAGTTTTGCTTAGAAATAAAGGAACTGACAATGAAGGTTTTTGAAAACCTATAATACACAATTCCATCACTCGCATTTTAGAAAATCATTCTGTATTTTGTCTATAAAGACAATCTTGTTCGGGCCAATGGTTAATGAGGATCTATCAATTGAGGTTAATTTTATTTGGATTATAAGACTGTAATGTCTGTATAATTGGCCGCACCTACCAACAGTTTTGCTTACAAAAAAAGAAACTGACAATGGAGGTTTTTAAGCCTATAATACAAAATTCCATCACTCGTCTTTTAGAAAATCATTTTGTATTTTGTCTATAAAGACAATCTTGTTTAGGCCAACAGTTAACGAGCATCTATCAATTGGGGTTGATTTTATTTTGATTATCAGACTGCAATGTCTGAATAACTGGCCGCACCTACCAACAGTTTTGCTTAGAAATAAAGGAACTGACAATGAAGGTTTTTGAAAACCTATAATACACAATTCCATCACTCGTCTTTTAGAAAATCATTTTGTATTTTGTCTATAAAGACAATCTTGTTTAGGCCAACAGTTAACGAGCATCTATCAATTGGGGTTGATTTTATTTTGATTATCAGACTGCAATGTCTGAATAACTGGCCGCACCTACCAACAGTTTTGCTTAGAAATAAAGGAACTGACAATGAAGGTTTTTGAAAACCTATAATACACAATTCCATCACTCGTCTTTTAGAAAATCATTTTGTATTTTGTCTATAAAGACAATCTTGTTTAGGCCAACAGTTAACGAGCATCTATCAATTGGGGTTGATTTTATTTTGATTATCAGACTGCAATGTTTGAATAACTGGCTGCAGCTACCGATAGTTTTGTTCAGAAATGAAGAAAGGTTTTTAAAAGCCTAACACACAATTCCATCACTCGCATTTTTGAAATTCATTTTGTTTTTATATTCCCTGACTGAGTGAGTCCTGGTCCCGCTACGAACTTTTCAATAATCACAAAAAATCAGTCAGTACTGTTATAAACACACAGCAGTCACTATCAATATCCATCACCGGCTAATTAGAAGCTAAATTATTTCATCTCTTTTAAAAAAGCATAACTGAAAATCCCACTGCCGTATTCGTGCCAGCAAGCTTCCTAAATCAACTGTTTTTATACAAAGTCCTCTCGAGTATTATGGCATCACAATCGTCCATTGTGTGTTTAAGGAAAGGTAAATTATGACAACGACAATGTAAAATAACTTTATTTATTTTAAGCTATAGCGAGGACAGTTGCTATTTGCCTGTCGGCGTCTTTAAGCCTTTACTTTTACAAAACAAATGTTTGAAATTTACAGGCATTTTACAGTTTTAAAAAGTGTTTTTTTTTGACCAATTGCGGTAAACAATTGTTTATTGAAGGCAAATGAACAAAAAAGGAGACCAAATTTTGAAACCTTCACGGAAGTGAAATTTTGTGTCTGAATAACTTGAAATCGGCCATAATTTGTACAAAATTAATTTGTTTCACACGTTTTTAAACAGTGAGTTTTATTAAGTCGAAAATTCCTTTATATTTAATCGCGTATTTACATATGAATACCAAATCCTCATCAAACAAGGCCGATCTTTGTAGTTCATTTCTTGTCAGGTACAGACATGGGAAATATAATTCACAAACGTTTCTTTTGTCCCCAAAACTGATGTTTTTACGATAGAAATACTGTTATAAATATGCAGTATGTTAACTAAAATTTGTGCGAGATTGTCGTTATGCCTTCACAATAGACAACAATTTGATATATTATTCTTAGAGTTTTTAGTATGTTCCGAACCTGGCATGTCTTTGGTGCTCGAGCAAATTGTGTAGTTGGGCCGCCGGATTGTCAAAACAGAATTTATCGAACAAGTTCTTTTACAGCATTTTTAAATCCGTATTGGAATGTTTGTAATCTCTGAATACATGAATAACTTATATTCGGATTTAATCGCTATATTGCGAAAATATTTTTATGTTTGATTAGTTTATTTACCTTCCAAAAATAACATAACAAAGACAAATTCAAGATTTTGAATTCACTACAAACCGTTTAAAACCGCGTTGTGAATTTGAAATTACAAAGCCGCTTGTTCCTTTATTGATAACACTTTAACTTATTCACTTTTGAGGGTTTTGCCTTTAAATATCTCGTTGACCGTTTCCGCCACTTTCCATTGAGCATACCGACGGGTGTATATTACAACACTAGACGGTCGAAGGAATGTGCGTACTTAAAGTAACGGCATATGGAGACCAAGCTCCTCAAAATTAAATTAAGTTAATCGCAAAATGCCGTCTTCGCATGGCATGAATCACCCTTCTAGACTTTTTTGCCCACGATTCCAGAGTAGAATGGATTTTCCACAAAAAGCGAATTCTTTAGAGATTTTTAAAAGATAGGTACTAAACATAGAAAAGGATAATGGTTAATTTCTATGATTTTTAAATCAAACATATTATGATTTCCAGTCCCGACGCAGACGCTTTCATTAGCCGAGACATCATGCTCGAAATATTTCAAGACCTTTATTGTTATACGGTTCAATTCAACATGGGCATAAACATTAAGGCTGAATTCGACTGATTGGATCAGTATGTTTTGCGGTAAATATGTGCACGAGTCGACTGTTGTGAATACATACGCATTCATATGATATGGTGTCTGGTTTGATTGTGTGATTTACAGACGTATAAACAAAGCCCGCCAAGAATTATTTATCCATAACTGGGGAAGGATCATATTTGGGGCATGCTTAAGAATGAGTATTTCTAGCTAAATATAATTTTTCAAAAAATTCAAAAGCGTCCGACACGGAAATACGCCGCATGCCATGTCGCGACGGTAAAAAGTACCCGTCCCCTATACTCAATGGCGCCTGTCAAACATTTGGGTTCCATTACATTTGAACTCGTGTACATTTGAACCCACGACAATTGCACCTGCATATTATTGCACCTATGGAAATATTTTTTGTTTTACGGATATTTGAACCCATACTAATCCTAACCCATGGCTTTCAGCACCCGCATATAGATTGAACCCGCGGATATACACATGGGTTCAAATGTACGGTCACCAAACATTTTTCATTGCGGAACGCAGCTATACGTCTTATAAGACGAGATGTTACAGCAATTGCGATAATATTATCGTTTGTTGGAAAATTGTAATCCTCCAATCTCAACAGTGGTGTGAAAAAAACTTGCTATCATTTGGTTTCATGTTAGTAATGCCGCATTACGATAACGCCTTCGCAAGTAAGTTAAAGTCGGTTTATAAGGTTTAAAAGACAATTCTCAATCTGAGTGATCTGGAATTCCTCTGTCTATTTTTGTGAGGAACAATAAAGAGCAGAACAGCTCCACCTAACGACGAATTCTAATTATTGTCACTCTGAGATCTGGTTCGACTCCGTAACGCAGCGCTCAGCAGCGACAGCGGTTGCGAAGGTGGATGTAGCGTCTATTTACTACGTCACCAAATGGTGAAAGATGAACATTTCAAAAATATAAGAGTCAAATAATGTAAGAATATTCAGCAATATATATGGGTAACCACGAAGTCCTCAGTTTTCAAAAATGCAACGGGAATTCATCGATACCATATATTGTTTCGGTTCTTACAGATATAGTAAAAGGAGTAAAAATACTTGAACAATTACTGATTAAAAAACAACAAACCTGGTTAAGGTATATTGAGAACTGACTTCATAACAAAAATGAAATTGTAAAGGGACTTTATGGACTGTATGACATTCCACTTTCGATTAAAAGTATAGGTAACAGTGATTCTTGCCGCTTTATTAACTTTATTAAATTAACGCTTAAATACGCAAGTAGCGTCAGAAGTTCCCGCTTTAAAAATTCTCAAAATGTTCGATTTGGACATAAGGATAGGATTTACATATTTATCCCGGGGGAGAGGAAAGCCGATAAAACGGCTTATCCATATGGCGAACCACGGCCTCTCGTCCGGTTACCATTCCAAGTCGGGTATGGAATTAGATTTACTGTATTGTTTGTTTTCGGAAGCATGGACTTGGTGGTGGAGGAAGCCGTAACCGACCAGCGGTTACGTGAACCACCCAACGACGGCGAGGAGTCCAGCAATCCTCTCGCACATAACCATCCCCGCATGGGATTCGAACCTGCGAACCCACGCAGGGTAGTTAGAGGTGCGGTGGCGAGCGTATTCCTAACGCTTAGCCCGTTGAGCCACACCGCCGCGCCAAATGAAACTATTGTTGGATCAATGATACTTACCCTATTTCATGTTGCCATTCTTCCGTATCTTCACTGTAAGGGATATATTCACTTTTCGAACGAACTCTTGTCCCCGGATTCTGTCGAAGCTGCACTGGTTTATCCGGAAGGGCTTTGTATGCGCGCGCTTGGGCAAGCGCAGATATTTCGATGTCAGTTTTGGTGGTTAATTCCGCTGAACTTTCGCCACTATGATTACTATTTTCGGTCGGTTTTTCGGGCGTTTCTTCCTGGATTTTAGTATTTCCATTATTGTTAGTTTCAACTTCAGTTATTTTTGATTTTTCGTGGTCAGCGATTTCTTGTTCTTTTGTATCCGCTGATTCGGCAACAGGAGATTCGTCGCGCTTGGCAATTTTGTCACGTGGTACATTGTCTGTGTATTCTGCTTTTATGACTGGTTTTGCCAAAGTCAACTCCCTGGATAAATCGCTAACTCTCGAGGACGAAGCAGATAGTGATGCAGAATAATATGATGACGTAGGCGAAGGTAATGACGTCACTGACGGAGGAGGTTCTGGGGAAATCGGCCCTTCGTCACCACTGCCTGGACTAGAGTACCCGCTACTTGCATTGTCAGCACTTTTTCGACGCCGCGTTTTTTTCTTGCGTTGTTTCTCATCGCGTGGACTGTCGCGAAGCGAAACAGTACTATGAATTTCGTCATCAAAAGACTTTATTACGTCACTATGATTTACAGGCAATGTGACGTCATCACCCACAAAAGATTGGTTATTAGTGTCTATTGCACTTGCATCAATTTGCACATTTGCGGATTCTTGCATATTAGCTTCTACAGGAACTATGGGGATTTCTGCTGCTTGCGGAATAGGCAAGTTTTCTCGACTGGCTGACTCCTTTCCAAAGGACTTTGTATTATTTTTCTGTGAGGACGATACGGCATCCTGGACCTGTTCTATTAAATATTGCATGACAGAGTGAACGACTTTCTCTATAGATTCCGATACAACGGCTGGAAACGCCGATTCTCGAGGTGTAGAATCTAATGATTGTATATGTTTTTGATTAGTAGTTTCTTCAGCTTTGTGTAGAATCGATCCCCCATCGATTTGTACTTCATCGTTGTCGCTAATATTCGGTGGAATGCTGGAACTTTGAGATAATTTTTTGAGTTTTACATGCCTTGGAGGAGGCGTTACTGTGGGTAATGTAATGTTATCTGATGAAATTGATCCGCTTTTTTGAGGTATTTTAGTCTGTGGCGCAGAAGGTTCTGTAGGTCTTTTTACTTCCGCTGAAAGAGAAGCGTCTATTAAGTTACTACTTATCACTGCATCTTTGACTGCCAGATCGGGCGTCGTTACTGAACTTTCTAAAGTGACTTCTGCAAATGGTTTAACTGTGTCCGCCACAGGTATTGTGGGTGTTACGTCTGCCGTGGACATTTGCTCATCGCTCGGATTGTTTTGAAAGGACGAGGTGGACGAATCGGATATGGACGGTATATTAGAAGGGCGGGGCTCTGGTGTGGGCGTGGCTACTTCTGTTCCTAGAACGGGATTCTCATTACCGTGACCGACGTCTAGATCGGGCGTAGATATTACGTCCGACCCAACATCGGTCGTTAGTGCATAAGGTGCCACATTTTCCGGGGGTTTAGGAGCGTGTCTCTTTTTCCTGGGACCTGGAATAGGTCGTGTAGGACTTGTGGCAGGCGGATGTGGTTGGAGTCTATTTACTGCAGAATTCGAAGAATCCGGATTTTGACCGACAACGTTGGACCAGCCATCCGATACAGGCACAGGTTCAAAGGAACGTTCGTACGTGCTTTTGTGTACATCTGAAGGCTTCCGTTCACTGCTTTTCCATGGACGCAAGTTCATTAAGCGTCCCAATCTTCCACCGACGCTATCCGTTTTCGAGGATCGTTTCGTCTTTGAGGGTGGTCGAGGCTTGGCAGAATCGTAAAGTGATTTTGGCCGGGTGTCATTATTCTGTGTCACAAACTTGTTGCGACGGCGATTCATGAAACCCGGGGAATCTGGAGATGCCATGCTGAAAAATAAATAGTAATCCAATTTATTTATTGGATCTTCTAGAATTAAAACAATAATCTTGAACAAAAATAGTTTTCTCTCTGTGTAACAAAAATTATAATAAGTGGACCGCGGATCTCACGACCATAGGCAAATAAACTTTCGTGGAGTTGTTTGCCCCGAACAATCTTATATGTGATCAGTCATAAATAGCCATGCAGAGACAAGTACAGGTTCATCAAATCGTACCTAATGTACTAGATACCAGATAGACAGCCTATATGACTGCTGCTGCATTATTTAAGAAATTTATTAGTGAATACAAATCCCGAAGGCGTTCAGTAGCTAAAGCATTTCAGAGAAAGAATTGGATAAATTAAAAAAAAATAATATGAAATAAACAAATGGGAATTAATTATCTTGAAGTGAGTGTGCTGTTTCGTACGATAAAGTACAGACTCGCTCATTACTTATCGATCTTAAGATCGGTAAGTATGTTGATAAGTATTTGTCTGTTTGTTTGTCTGTTAGATGAACGCGATATCTCAAGAAGGCGAGGTTGAATCTGCTCAAAATTTTGCATGTGCATTAATAATATCTCGGACCAGAAGCCTATCGATTTTGGATGATTATGTCGTATAATTAGCGAGGTATCAATTAATTAGTGATGGGACACGCGGTGTCACTATAGAGTCATGAATTGGAACCGCAGTTTCGATCGATAAGTCTTCGGTCTCCGACCGATATTTTCGTTTATATGTTCATGGTATTAAATGCTTTGGTATTAAATATTGTTTAAATTATTACGGATTTGAATACCAATCTGACTGATAATTATTAACTACAAATACTCTGATTCAGCAGTGGCAATGCTCGACAAAAGTTGGTCAACTGAACTTGATTTTCCTACAAATAGTCCAACATTGGGAGACAAAATGACTCGAAGAAATACATCAAATCTAACTCGGAAGAAAATGAATGAAAATAAAATAAATAAATGGGACATGATTGAAGTGAGTGTGTTGTTTCGTACGATAAATATTGTAATGTACAGACTCACTTGTTTACATGCTCATTGGTGTTAAATACTGTTTAAATGTTAAAGGATTTGAATACCATTCTGATTGATAATCATTAATTACAAATTCTCTGATTCAGCAGTCGTAGTTCTCACCATTTCACATTATTTTTCAGTTTTTTGTGTACAAACACATTGCCATCAACATAAAGTAAATGAAAAATGAAACAAGCTATATTTGTTTTATTTGTTATATTTATATTATTATATTTATAAGTGGAAAAAACAATAATCATACTTTTCTGCGTCTGATAGGTTCAGAGGTGATTCCGGTATTGGATCAGTTAGTTCTTCATCGGAAGATGAATTGATATCGAGGTCCCGGATAGCCGCAAAATTTTCCGAAAGTGGACGAGTTGTTGCGAAACTCTCCGAAAGTGGCCGACGTTTTACGAACGATTCAAAAACGCTGGCGTACTTTGGAGATATCTCATATTGTTTTGTTTGCTGTTCCGGCGATGTGCGGAATACTGAAAGACGAAGTGTACCAGGTTGAAATGGAATATCTAAAAAAATAAGGAAGGATATAAACATTATGGCAGTGAATAGCAATACATGATAATGCAGGGCAGGGTTTCTCAAACTTTTGGAGTTATCGAGCCCGTGAAAAGATTGACTATAATTTACGTCGCCCACAATGAATATATAAAAATAAAACACATTAATATTCACCGATAAATGTCTCTGAATAATTGAAAATATTTTGTTTAATGACTCGGATTTATTTGCTGCTTTGTATTTTGGAAAATATTCAGTATTTTATTAAATAAACAAATATCTTTTGGGCTCCATATGAAGAACTTTGGGAACCTATGATGTAGGGAATATGCCACAATTGATTCTAAATTGTTCGACTCCGCGAAAATTAGGCAGGAGTCTCAAAAATACCGTGCAATTTGTCGCAGACATTTTGTCTCACTTGTCCCACACTGCTATTCCACTTATATCAACCTCACTTCATATGAAAAATACAAAAGTTACATATTTACCCTAACCCAGAATATAGCACGAATTCCACTGCACATGGTTATTTTACCAATTTGCCAGGTATCTATCTACCCTAACTCATAACAGTAGAACAATTGGAACAGGTGTGGAACGAGTGTGATAAGAAGGGAACTATAAAGAACATGACGTTTTTGAGACACCAGAATTTAGCAATCTTTACTGTTCTAGACTTCTAAGCGTATACCAAAAATATATTTCATCTATTTTGATGGCTGTGGCATATTGCCCACTCAGCCACTTGAAGTTGTTGGAAATACAATGTTCTAAATATGTATAAAATATCTATTCTAGTCTGTTGTGGACACAAACCTAATTCTAGTGTTCCCAAATGACGCAACAATACTTCTAAAAATCACATTGTGACTGGGTACTTGAAGTTTTGTGACGCAACAATGTGAATGTTGTCTCTAACAAGTGGGATTAGCTGCTGTTTTGGTCTAATGATCGTCACCCGCAAGGACACGTTTAAAGTTAGTTTTGATTATGTACCCTCGAAAAGGGAGTACATTCAGGGACAAACTTCAAATAATTATACTTTTATTATACTCTTCGAACTACGCCAAATTAAATCGATGGTTCTTTACGCATTAAATTCTTGCATTGGATGAAATTGGTATTTTACTTCAGTACAAGACCATCTTATTGCTGCTCCCGAGCGCCACTACGCGGTACGCAAAAAATGAGAAAATATCGAATTTCAGCGCCTTGTTGTGAATATTTTATAATCAAATACTCAAAAGTTCGCGTACATTTGTAGCGTCATCTTTTATTGCGAAATGCACATATGTGTCGTTCACATTTATAAATGTTTTCAGAGTGGCAAATACGACCAGGAACGCCGCCATTTTTCAAGCATAAAGCGACCATTGTTTATGTTTTGTTCAAATTCAGTATATTCATGAAAACAAAAATATTCCACTTGAGCCCGAATTTTTTTCGAAAAAGACGAGAACAAGCCGATAATGACGAGGGCTTACGATTATTATATTAGCTCTTATTATATATACTCGTAACATGGCCGAATACCATAAAATTGAAGTCTGTTAAGAGTCAAGGTCACACCTAAGTTGAGCTGTACGGTTACAAAAACTACCTTAAACCTTGTCTATAATGAGATATTCCTTGTATAAGATGATCATGAAATAAAAGACGCTTATTTTAAAGTATAGTAGAGAGAGACGTCGTTAAAGTGTAATGTGTTTTTAACGTTGACTCATTTGTTTGAATTCCATGTTAGAATTCCCCTATAACTCCGTCAACATGACTAAGACAACGATTCTCGTTTAAAACTCTTTTACGATTGTGCTTGGACGATATTTGATTATGTATGAGCCATATTTAGGTTAATTCTTTTTCCCCACCAATTGCACTACTGACTGAATACCAATGATTAATGAACTCAGTGATAACTATGTTTGTAGTTTTGACTGGCATAACCAGCAAAGTAAATATAAGCAACAGGAAATTCACACTCAACCAACAACTTAAGATGTCTCGTTTTTCTTTAGACCATTGGTTCTCAAACTTTTTGAGCCGCGTCCCCTTTTTAGAATTTGTCAAGTCTCGCGCCTCACCTCAAAAATAACTAGCTAACAATAGGCTACAAATACCAGATAGTAAGGCGAAAGTTTGTTTTATTCAAAAAAGACGTTAAAAATACGTGAATGGAACGTAAATAATGAAATAAAAGAAAAGTTTTGAAATGTGAATATAAAAAATAAGGCGGGCACAACCAAATATTTAACAATATCTAACAAATATTCGTTTTTAATTAGCTTCACGCCGTCATAAAAAAATTGTCTACGCCCCTAGTGGGTCGCGCCGTTTGAGAACCACTGTTTTAGACCAGGGCTCTTGAAACTGGGCCCTCGGTCTTGTTAGAGTTGGCCACCTAGCGGTTCTCTGTGGGCTCGAGGAACCATTCGAGTCGACTGCATGCATTAAAAGTAAATTGACTGCAATTTGTTTAATTCTTTGTTGGCTTGGCTTATTAAACAAGGCGTGCCAAATAGAATAACTGACATCTATTTTTATTCAAGGCCACCGAGCGTAAGGAGTCTTTGGAAGTCGGCCGCCGGTAAAGGAAGGATGAGAACCATTGTCTGGTTGTTAACGGGGGCCATACTAAATGACTTGGCGGGCCGAGTTGTTGCCCGTGAGCCGCGATTTTGCACACCCTTGTCTTAGACTGATGTGAGACACAAAATCTATTAGGAAGATTATCAAACATTTGCATATTTTTAGCAATCCCAGGTTATCACACAATATAAAAACCACTTACCATTTTGGCGCTGCATTGGCATGGTGCCCATTGAATTCTTTAAAGTTATAGCTATGGGGTTATATTTGTAATGGGCATGAATTAGCATACACCAACATATTCACTATAGAAAATATAAAAAAAATGAAACTATTTATTTTAAGAGTTAGAACAGAATGTCATTTCATTTCGAATTTTCATGTCATAGAAGAACGGAACATCAATTCAGTGTTAATCAACCTAAAATTCCTCTGTTTACACACTTTCCTATTGATTTTTGAGCCTCCGACCCAATAACCGAGAATATCGGTTGGAGACCGAAGACTTATCGATCGAAAGTTAGGGGATCCCCCAAAACAGCGCTCTTACTCCATAGTGACATCGTGGGTCCCATCGCTAATTAATCAATAACTCGCTAATTATACGACATAATTCATCCAAAATCAACAGAATTCTGGTCCGAGATATGATGAATGTACATGTAAAATTCGGAGCAGATTCAACCTCGTTTCGTGAGATATCGCGTTCATCTAACAGACAAACAAACAGACAGACAGACAAATCAACATACTTATCGATAAAAATCGATAAGTAACAAGTCTATTATCTGTAACTAGCCCACTCTGAAAAGTAATTGCCCATCCCTGTACTGAGACAACACTAAACGTCACTTAACTGAGATGATACAATAATGATTGACATGAGCCCACATGTATACTGATAAGTGTCATTACATATTCTCTACGAACAAATCTTCAAACAAGTTGCCAGTGAGCTGTATAGAGCACTGGTTCCAAACCGCGGGCCAATTACGGCCCTCGTAACGATTTCACTTTGCGTGAAATAGTTCACACTTTATATTTTTGCGTTTTAGATACCGCCTATTGTTACGTCATTATCACAGTTTAAGTCCTGTATATTTGTAACAATTCAAATATACCATTATATTAATTATACGTACAGGTATCAGCCTCTTGCGGCCGCTCCCCTCTTCCGGCCCGCAAATATCTCCCCGCTTCTAATTTTGGCCCCCGGTCAATCAACTTTGGGAACCACTGATATAGCGCTATTATTATTATATTATCAAATATAAATCTTGGGGCGCGATTACCAAGGGCTAAGCCAGGGGTTCCCAAGTTTTTTTCAGGACGATCCCAAAGACAACTTTCAAGTGTCCAGTGCGACCTCAGGTCAATATATATATTTTTTTCATGAAACTTTAGAGCTCCTTTCACTGGACTTTTGAGTTTGGTCATGTGGTGGTATTAAGTAAAATAAGCTAAAACCGAACAGTGATGTTACAATAAGCACCTACATTTTCTATAACTTAAGCATAGAGAGATGCCTATGGGCCTGTTTTACATTAAGCCATGATACAAACTGCTAAATTTAACATTGTTTGTCAAATCTTAGATGTTTTGTACATCCATCCTCTACCATACCTCAGCGACCCCATGAACTGTTTGCGACCCTACCTACTTATCACTCCGACCCAATTTGGGGTCGCGACCCCTAGTTTGGGAACCCCTGGGCTAGGCCCTCGTGGCTAAAGCGTTAGACTCAATAAAGTTAAAAATCTCGCGTTCGCATCACATGACAATACCCACTCAGGGCGTACTAAATTAGGTAGTCAGTTCTGAATCGTAAAGATTTCGGGTTTTTGAAAAATATTCCTTGCCTAGCTTCTAGCAGTGGCTACCGACACAGAAGCCTCACAAATTACTAAAAACAGAGCTAAAAACAATAATAATAAACAAAAGTAATTTAAGCAACAGTACGAACATTATACCGACGTAACAACAAATACTAACAGTCGACCATTTCTCAACACAGTTCTTTTATCAAAAAATTTCAAGATTGCGACAAAAAGCGTGTCGCGGGAAGCAGTGCTTGTAATATACCTATAATTAACTTAATATAAGTTAATATGAATCCAGACTAATAATGTGTTGCAAGCATTTGAATACTCTGTGTTATTGGGGCCATGTAACTATAGCAAGATGTCGTCGCAGACATCTCTATTGAGTAGTTCCATGACCGAATTGTCATTTGCAGGTCCATATATAATTATGATATAACGAAAGGAAACGTTCATATCGATTTTTACACTGACATATTTTGGTGTTACTACACAGATATCAACAACATTGATTTAAATTAGAATGCTTATATATATATATATATTATTCTAAATATTATATTTCTCAAATACCCGGTTCAAACCAAATTTTGTTGCAC